TCCTCTTGATGTTGCAGCCTTTGTCTCATACTGCAGAAGGCAAAATAAAGCCTTTATCATCGGATGTGATGCCAACGCTCATCATACGATATGGAGTAGTTCGGGGATCAACAAAAGGGGTGAGTCACTTTTTGATTTCACTTCTCAGCGAAATATTGATATATGTAATAAGGGTAATTCGCCAACATTCATTAATGCAATAAGGGAAGAGGTATTGGATCTAACACTTTGCAGTCCAACAATCTCAGATCGTATAGTAAATTGGCATGTATCAGATGAAATTTCTTTATCTGATCATATGCAAATTATGTTTGAATTCACGGTTAATGATGTATTAAAGGAAACTTACAGAGATCCTCGTAAAACAAATTGGGAGCTATACAGCTTCAGTCTTCAGAGTCAAAATGAGCCTATTTTACAGGATTTTGATTCAATTTCTAAGCTAGAAAAAGCTGCTAATTGCTTAATAAGCAATATAAATCAGGCTTATAATATTTGTTGCCCTGCAAAGGTGCGCACGACTAACAGAGAAGACAAAACAAAACAAAAAAGACAAAACTTCACCGAAATAATTTAGACCAATAAGTCGACAGTGAGCATGCATAAGGGCCTATACGCGATGATCGATTCTCTTCATCGATTTTCTCTTTGCGTTGCTACAGCTAAGCGAAACAATTTTGTAGAATTTATTCAATGTAGAATTGTAACAGGTTGCATTGGCTACCAAAAGCAACAGCAAACGCACCGACAAACGTTAAATCTAGCGAGTTATTAACAAAAGAGAAAATCGATGAAGAGAATCGATCATCGCGTATACGCCCTTATGAATGCTCACTGTCGAAGTCTTTCATCAATATTTTTGAAGTTAATAGAAAAACTTATAGATGAATATGTCAAATCAGATGTTCTTCATGGTAACCCACTATGTAGAGCCCAATTCGCCTATCAGTCAGGCAAATCCACCATAACAGCTCTTCATATGCTAGTTACTAAAATAGAAAAAAAAAACCTTCACAGCAAAGGAAATTCTATTAGCAGCGTTTCTGGATATTGAAGGTGCATTTGACAATGGGTCTTTTTCGTCAATGATAAACGCCATGAGAAATCGTGGCTTTAATGAAAACATAATTAAATGGATTGTGGAGATGCTATCCAAAAGAGAAATATCAGCTAATCTTGGAGATGCACTAGTAAAAGTAACAGCTGTAAAAGGCTGTCCTCAAGGAGGAGTTCTTTCTCCACTTCTGTGGTCTCTGGTAGTTGATGATCTTCTTTTAAAGTTAAAGCAGCAAGGATTTGAAGTAATCGGATTTGTTGACGACATTGTTTTTATAGTTCGCGGAAAATTTGATAAAATTGTATTGCAAAAAGCATTCAAATTCACACTATCATGGTGCACACAAGAAGGACTGAACATAAATCCTACGAAAACATCAATTGTACCCTTTACTAAAAGACGTATAGTCTCTACTACTGATCTTAAACTAGGAGATGTTAAATTATCACTGTCGTCAGAAGTTAAGTATTTGGGAGTAATCCTAGATAGTAAACTCTGCTGGAACAGACATATGAAACAACAAATAGAAAAAAAACAACAAATGCTTTTTGGATCTGTAAAAGATCATTTGGTAAAAAATGGGGTCTAAAGCCGAAGATGATACATTGGATCTACTCGGCTATTGTTAAACCCAGAATCACTTATGCATCACTAATCTGGTGGCCGAAAACCAGACAACAAACGGCACAAGTTAAATTGAACAAGTTACAAAGACTTGCTACTCTTTCCATTACTGGAGCAATGCGTAGTACTCCTTCGAAGGCATTAGATGCTCTACTCAATATTCTTCCTTTACATCAATTTATTCAAATGGATGCAATGAAAAGTGCTCTGAGGCTCAAACGGACCATGAATTTCTTTGATGGAGATCTTATTGGACATCTGAGCATTTGAAAAGAGTTTCAAATAAGTCCACTAATTTTAATGAATGAAGACTGGATGTTAAAGCGTAACAACTTCAATCACCAATTCAAAGTTCCTGAAGTGACTCGTTATGATTGGAATACAGGAGGGCCATCTTTTCGTCCTGGGTCAATAGTATTCTATACGGATGGATCGAAACAAGATAATATGGTTGGGGCTGAAATAAGTGGTCCTGGGATCAGCCTATCGGTGCCGATGGGAAAATGGCCAACAGTATTTCAAGCTGAAATATATGCCATCCTAGAATGTGCCACGATTTGCTTAAAAAGAAATTATAAAAATGCAAACATATGTATTTGTTCAGATAGCCAAGCAGCGTTGAATGCTCTAAAGTCCAAAACTTGCACTTCAAAACTGGTTTGGGAATGCACTAAGCTATTGTCCTACTGTAATAAGGTTAACCTATACTGGGTTCCTGGTCATTGCGGAATCGAAGGGAACGAAAAAGCTGATCAATTGGCTAAAGTGGGATCATCAATGCAATTTATTGGACCTGAACCATTTTTAGGATTATCTTTTTGTGCTCTTAAAATGGAGTTCAATAACTGGGAAAGAATAAAGGTACAGTGCAACTGGAGTAATACCTTAAATGCCCGGCAATCAAAACGTTTCATAGAGCCCAACGCTTTGCACACACAAAAACTGCTGACCTTATCGAAACACGATTTGAGTACATATACTGGTTTGATTACAGGACACTGTCCTAGTAAATATCACCTTAAACTTATCGGAAAAGTTGATGAAGACAGATGCCGTTTTTGTAAACTAGAGAGTGAGAGCAGTAAACATTTGCTGTGTGACTGCGTTGCACTATTTCACAAACGACGTATATACCTAGATAAGGGGCTTATGGAACCCTGGGAAATCTGGGCTGCTTCTCCCAATCAAGTTATACATTTCATAAGGAATGCATTACCTGTTTGGGATAATTGCCAACAACAGTAGTGGTGGTTGCTCATATAAATAGCATCTTGCCATTGCGTTACGGCAAAATCAAAAGAGAATACACCACAATAGATCAAAGTTATGGTCGCGGTGGTATTATGCCCACAACACAGGAAAAAAAAATGCGTATCAACGAACCAGTCGCCAATGTTATCGGCGTTATCAACGAGATGTTCAACGGAAGCTTCGATCTCACCCGAAAACTTTTTGGAATTATGTGAATGAGCAACGAAAGGAGTCTGGCCTTCCATCGACTATGGTACTGAACGGCGAAGAAGCTTCATCCCCTCAGGACATTTACCGTCTGTTCTCAACCAAGTTTGTGAGTGTATTCTCGGATGAGAATCTACCTGACGAGCAAGTTTCTCTAGCAGCCAGTAATGTTCCAACGTCTGGTCAATCTTTGGCAGCTATCAACATCGACCTCGCTATGATAACATCGACCTCGCTAACTTGATCATTTAAGGAAAAAAGACGGAGTTCCTTCCGTCTTTCTCAAGCAACACATCGATAGCCTGGTGGCTCCTCTCTGCCGTCTGTTCGTAAAGTCCCTCTCCAGTGGGGTGTTTCCTTCCTGCTGGAAATCAGCTGAAATGTTTCCAGTGCATAAGAAGGGATGCAAAAGAAACATCGACAACTATCGCGGCATCACATCGTTGTGTGCCATATCTAAACTGTTCGAGTTGGTCGTTATGAAACCATTAGTCTCTCACTTCAAGCAGCACTTGAGCGAAGACCAGCATGGTTTCATGGCAGGGCGGTCGACTACTTCCAACCTTCTGTGTCTCACCTCGTACATTACGGAGAGTATAACAGACCATATGCAAACAGATGTCATCTACACTGACCTATCAGTCGCCTTCGACAAGTTGAACCATCCTAACTGTATAGGCTCGGTATAAACGGCAGTCTCCTACGATGGTTCGCATCCTATCTATCTGATCGTCAGTTGGAAGTTGCAATCGACGACTGCCAATCTCCTTCTTTCTTTGCCACTTCGGGTATTCCGCAAGGTAGCCACCTCGGCCCGTTGATATTTCTTGTGTATTTCAACGACGTCAATTTCGCCCTCGACGGTCCACGACTGTCGTTCGCCGACGACATGAAAATCTATCTCCGAATCCGAACCATCGCTGACTGCCACCTTCTCCAACTCCAACTCAACGCTTTTGCTAATTGGTGCCAACTTAACCGCATGGTTGTAAATCCAACAAAATGTTCAGTAATCACGTTTTCACGGAAGAAACATCCAATTACATTCAGTTATATCCTAGAAGGCGGTGACGTTCATCGTGTGAATCACATTAAGGATCTGGGAGTCATCTTAGATTGTCAACTCACATACAGCCAGCATATCTCGTAATAGCAATCGAAATAGCATCTTTTTTTAATATAAAACTAGGATTTTAAAATTTGTTGATTCCGGATTACAAGTACGGAAAAAATGAAACTCAAGATTCATTCAAATTAAAAAAAAAATCAAATCTTTTTATTCTACAAATAAAGCGAACCAAAATGTCAGATGCATTCTAAATAGCGAAACACATGTAAATTTTTCTGAAAACGTTTGTAGCGTTAGAAACCTATTGCTGTGTATGGAGGTCTCCTCCATACATAACAATAGGCTCCTAACGCTTCTAACGTATCGTAACAATAGGACTGTTCCCCCTACTTGAAATGCGTTTTAAGGTTAAGGTTTTCAAAGCAGATTTCTGACCCCTTTTAAATATGACCGGTTCATTCGAGATTATGCTTTCTTCTCGAGACCGGGCTACGGCCCTTGGTCATTAAAACTACAGTCAACTCTCCACAACAGGGTGTCCACTAACTCGATATCGAGTTATAGAACCATACTAAAAATTAATTTCATGGCTACCGTGATAGCGGTTTTGTAAGGGATTTTTATTCTAAAACTCGATGCTCCCTTCAAAATCGAGTTGTATAGTTTATTGCATTAATTAAAGTGCTCAGATCACACTGCGAAGTCACAATTGTTCCAATTGAGACGTAATATTCAAAAAAAGAAGAATATATGCTCCTTCATCAACCTTAAGAAGCGGGAAAAGGTACTCACATAATCAAAGTAGAAAAGCACTTTCTTCTCCTGGTACCGTGCTCGCTGTAGGTTGCGCACTCGCTGGCTTATGATGTAGGTGTCGAGCTTTTGCTGCTGGATCATGTACCCCGTTGGAACGGCCACATCCAGTATGGCCATACCGGAACGGATCGATTCCGCGGTGTTGGTCCACCTGTTTGCAATAAAATTCCCAATTACCGATCATATGCATGAGCAATTTGTTAAAGCATCGTTACGACGACGTACCGCTGACAGATCACGTAGCTGATGTGAGACTGATTCCTACCGTGGAAGATGGTCCGTGTGGTCAGATCGAACGCCTTCACCGGTGGCATCGTCTGGAACTTGTACGTATCGACCGAGTACTCCACATGCATCTGGAGAATTGCGTAGCCTACACCTTTAGCTTGTACTTTCACCGTACCCCATGCATTTGGAATCTGTTGATGATACACACAATTAGCCAAAACAAAGATCGCAATTTTCATCGGAGTCAAACACTTACTTCAATGTCCTGGATAGTGGCGAGGTTGTGCTGTCCGATGTGTAGGATCTTCGATTCTCCCGGAAGGGACGTAGCTTCCACGGTGACCGTCAGTGACGTTACATCGGCCACGCGGTTCCGGGTGCTGTATTCGGTGAGCGCTTTCATAGCGATACCGGTATCCTGACTGGAAGCCCATCCACCATCCATTAGCCGTTGACTGTTCAACCAACGGACGATCGGCTCGACGGTGAACGTTTCCTGGCGCGATACGTAGGTGAGCAAAGCGTAGGCGGTCGTTTCGATGTTGAGCGAATCGTATGTGTACGGAAGTCGCGGTAGGCTGAAGTATTTTTGATTTTCCAACTTGCTCGGCGGTTGAGGGACCTCTTCGTTACCCCAGTAGTTGAGATCCGCTAAGGATTGCAGAATGAATTGAAATTGGCTGCTTAACACTAAAGACAATTAAGATCCAACTTACCTATCGATCTCATCTTATTGGCCAGGATTTTGAAGGCATGTTCTGCTTGGGGAGCCTTGGCTTGCGCCAGAGCGTAGCTTACAATTGCAATCTCGTACGAAGAGCCATAATCTTTAATCAGGCCAATATTGCGCTCGATGTACCTGGAGGCTCTCTGTTCCGCTAGCGCCACTCGTGAACCCAACGGCTGCAAAGTTGAATAAAAGAAAACCATTAGAATTTGTGCATGCATTGTATAATTTTACGGCTCTAAGAGTTACTTACTCCTGACAGGTCCTTAACTGATACGAGTGTTATCAAAACATGTGCCGTCAGGGTGATGTTCTTGGTGCGAACTACTTCATTACGGGGATCGATGGAAGACTGGTTCACTTTACGGTCCGGTAACCAGGTAACTTCCCAAAATGAGCCGTCGTCCTTTTGGTGCTGTAAAACGTAGTGGATGTTCTTCTGGATCACCAACGGATCTATGTAGATGAAGTTTTCGTATTCATAGAAGGACGCTTCAGAGAAAACTCGTGCACAGTACGCAGTCAGCCATACGGACGACGCGGATTGATTCCAATCGGCACGGAACAGTGAGAATGATCCATCGCCGTTGAGGTAGCTGAGTTGCTTTTGATAACCGATGTTCATGTAGTGGAAAGCTAGTTTTTCGGTCTTTTTGTTACGCTGTTTGATGGCTCGCATGTACTGGATAGTGTAGAAGTTCGCCGAGAAGCTGAACATGTTCTGTTCGGCGGAGTCCATTGGAAGTGCTAACAGTGATGTAGTATTGACTGGCATGGTTGGGAAAATGGCCCCAACAACGTCACCGACAACAGATATGTGTGCCTTGTTCGATCCGAATACGTAGTAACGGTCGATTTCGTACGGGATGATCGGAGTTTCCGTTACGTTGACATGCATGTATTGGAAGAAGTAAGCACGATTACTGAGATCCAGCATAGTCGACTGGTGCCGATGTTGAATCAGGCCGTCGGGCTCAACTTTGATCTTCCGACTGACCTGGTTAGCTCCGAGAAGGGTTGACGCGTGGATGGTGACTTCAATTTCGCCCAAACGGGTTGGGACGATTGGAATGTACACGTTACTGGAGTCTTGCGCGTAGATGTAGATATAGAACTGATGTTCACCGAAAGACGTTCTTGGATTGTACGACCGAACAATGCCATCTTCTTCTACGTGTACGAACTGGTAGTCAGGTGAACTGTGAAGCACCACAGTGACTTCGATATCCACCGTTTGATAGTTGAACACAGCCACGCGAATACCAACCTGTTCACCCTGTCTGCATGTTGTAGGCATTTCCAAATTAATGAAGAATGGCTGCACTCCAACGTACTCGAGCGGCTTCCTTATCATACCGAAACCTTGACTGGCGCTAACGCCAAAAGCAGACACGATCCAATGTGCCGGGATTTTTGGAACTTCCAGATTGAAGATGAACCTTCCATGTGGACCAATGTTGATATCCTTCCATAACCAAACGTTCTGATAGTGTCGCAAGATTCTGTTGAATCGATACTTCCGGAATTCAGCCAGCGCAGTGCTGTTCCTATTTTCACATCCAGCTTCATCCGTTCCATCCTCGCAATCAAAATAACCATCGCATCGTTTGTCGCTCCTGTAGCACCTTCCGCTCAAGCATTCACTATAGTTCATCGCCGGATCGCAGCTTAGCGGTCTCCTGGGAATAACTCCATCCGTAAACACCACCAACCCGACATATTCAAATGTTCTGTTTGCATCTACGCCAAAAGTAGAACTCGGATAGTACACCAACTCATCCGGGTCACCTTCGTGCGAAATCCACGTCTGTTTGAAAGTTCCATTGGTTTGTTCATCGAAGTTGGACATTTTGGTAATCACATTCGCGTAGGTCAGTTCGTTACCAGCTTGCATGGTGTAGAATGCATTGTCAATACCTGACAAGCCCACGTACGATCCAGCTTCTCCGTAGATAGCAACCTCTACCTTCTCACCGGTCCTAGCCTTCCGATTGTTAATGAACACCGTAAAGTTATTCCTGGATATTCCGTTCACTGGGAAGGTTAAACTGTCCGCGATCACCTTTCCGTACCTTCCGATGTGCCAAACCATAATCGTAGCCGTCGGAGCCATTTCCGCGCTCAACGTAATAGACATTGTCCGGACACCGCCAGACATGATCTCCTGTCCCGTCACCAGTACGATCCCCTTGGACATGACTATGTAGTGGAAATCCTTGATGTAGAAATTGCTCTGCACGTGGAAGATCATGTACTCTCCCACTTTGGCGTCCTTGGTGCTGGTCGCAACCTTGATGTTATGGTTATTTGGTGAAAAATGTGATAACAACAGTAATTCCGCACTGGCTCGTTCACCCGAGGGGTGGATATAGTTGGCAGTTAGTCGCATCGACTGAATCTGATTAAGGAACTCGTTCGTCGTCTTACTGTTCTCCAGATTCAAATCGTTTCGCAGATCAACCTTTAGCTCCCAGACGCCAGGTTTTTCGGACATTTGTAATTCCTTGACGTCGTACGTGTTGCGACCGCCACCGCTTCGGCTGTCAATCGTACCGGACAGTTCCATCCGGCCAGGATACAGTGGATCGATTGGGAGGGGCGACCCGTCGTGATATTCCGCAATCAGGTAGATCGTGAACGGCATCGATGGTTTGAAGACTTGCGGCGAGTTACCGAGGAAAGCGACTCTGATCGAGGAGTTGTAGATCCGGGTCATGGAGTACCCTTCGATGATTTCATCGTAGAACCGTTCGCCAACACGGGCCGTGATTAGCACCTCCATTCCGGCGAGATTGTTTTGAAACAGTTGGGAGAGTTCTGTCATCGGGAACCGGAAGTGGTATGTTCCGTTGAAGAATCGTAGATATGGCAGAGAATCCCGGTAGGTGTTGGTCCATGAGTCCCACTGTTCGGCCGTGTCGATCGGTTTTTTAATCCAGAAAGGCCATTCTTCGTCAAAGTTGAAATGTCGTTCTACCACGTAGGACTCCTGATAGTTTGATTGGTATCGCTGGTCTTGGTATTGGGTATCGGGTTGATTTAGCTGACTAGTGAACGTTGACTGTGCACTGTACAAGTCCGGATTCGTGTATTGTAGATAATACGGGATGCTCGGGTCAAGTTCCCGACGATTACCGGTGTTCCAAACACGGTTCATGTGGTTAATAGCTTTAGGATTCAGCCACCCAATCGGACGAATGGTGGCCTTTAGGGTTAGATTGCCTTTAATGGGTGTTCCGTTGGTAAAGTTCGCCATGATTTTACCGTAAATGAACGGATCCGTTTGGAAGAAGAACGCCGGCATAGTTACATTTACCTCGAACCTCGTTTGATAGTACTCCTCCACATTGAAGTTCCTTTCTTCTACTTGTCCTTGCGCGATCACACGGATCTTCCATTCGCCAAACATCGGTTGATCGGATAACTTGTACTCCAAGCTTACTGATCCCAGGTTCGATTGCCTGGACAGCCATCGCCTCATAATGTGACCGTTCGGGTCCAGCATGTACACATCAACTGCATTGTCGAAGCCCTTGAGTTCCGTAGTGATTGGTATCGTTCGGAATCGCACCATTTCACCTTGCATGTAAACTGGTTTATCCGTCTGGAGGAAAATCGTCATCGATCGCTGTGAGAAGGTCAGTCGTGTTTCGTTTTCGAATATGTACCCGCCGAATGTATTCTCGTAGGAACCTTCCACCCGTAGCTTGTATTCTCCGATCACGCTAGTCGGGGGGATCCGCATGAGCAAGGTTTCCGGGACTCCGATGCGTACGGATTTCAGTTCACTGCTCAGTTCAACGCCATCTCGAGATATACTGGCTCGAACTGTCATGGGATGCTGCGCTTCTAGCAAGTTTACCGATACCTTGTAGATCTGACCGGGACGAACCATCCGTGAGGCTACCACAAAGTACGAGATTTCCTTACCCAGCGGATTGTTGAACTGATCCAGGAACGTATTTCGGCCACCGCTCACCGGGTTGAAAGCGTTTCGCATTCGAGGTGTCGTGCTAAATCGATTGAAGGGAGAATCCCGTGGAGTGGTCGATTGAAAGAGCACATCTCGATCCCGATCCCGATCCCGATCGCCACGGTTGGGATCGAACCGATTGTCGATGCTGTTGGAATCGGTACCGTAGAAGTCCCGGTTGCTGCTGTAGTTGGGATTCCGCGGATCGTTGCTGGCCGTCGGATTCGGCTGAGGTTGCAGGTTGCTTGAGGTAGGGTTGTTAAATCGCTGTCGGTTGAACGGATCCAGTGGGTTGTACCGTGGCACATCGTTGGGATTCTGGGGCTGTTGTTGGGCCCAGGTGAGAAGCGTGGGGAAACCGAATAACAGCAGGAGCACACCCGACCAGGTCGGATGCCACCGGCGGGTCATGCTGCCGGTGCTGCGATGGCTTTTCTGGAAAGATGAAAAAGAAGATGAGGTTATTAGGATGACTGGGGAATTTTATTTTATTTTCAGGGTTTGGATTTCACTACAAATATTACGTTGCTTCGAGTTTTTAGAAAAAAAAAAACCATTTTGGTATCTCATTAGCAAATGTCTTATATTTATTTCTTATTATTTTATTGGATTATTATATTTCGCCAGGCTTAACCCTTTCCTTCCCAGATTTTTTCGTTGTTTTGAGATGCAAAAATGTGCTTTTGAAAAAAGTGCTAGAACAAAAGATGTTCCCAACTGCCTAAACTCCTCCAGTTGTAGTTGCTCCAGAACTTGGCCATTTTCACCAATTTAACACCGATTAAACACTCTTACAACTCTTACAAATAAAGACGTCCGGCACACGCCAGAAAAAAATGACAGACGATTTCTCTGGTTTTTTCGATTCACCTAAATCAAACCGAGTTTCTTCGGTTAAAATTTCCATCGCAAAGTTGAACCGTTTGACGTTTAAGAATGTTTATTGGATATTCGCTTCGGTTTACCGAGTTTTCGGTTTTCACGTAGCAAACTCGTAAAGATCGCTACTTTTCGGTTCAACCTTCATTTATATCTGTCAAATTTATCCTATTGTAACCAAAATTCGGGTTTGACTCGAGAAATACGAGTGAAAACATATATATACTATCCCGTTTTTGTCAGCCCCAGGCTGAACCTCCATAACCTCAGAATCAACGTAAATAAACTAGTCAGAAGCCGTCTCTTGCTAGTGCTAGGTCCCGAGATGTTCGGTATGATTCTGGCTACCGCGTTGATGACCTTCGCTACCTTCTCTTAAGCCGTATTCTACGTGGCTATTGAAGCCAAACGGTCGTCGACCATCACTCCCAGGCATTTCAACACGCACTTCTAGTTTATTGCGTGCTCCCCAACGGTAATTTGTGACCGCTGCAGCGCTTTAAAGTTGCTGATCAATACCACCTCGCTTTTTTTGTGGGCTATCTGCAACTTCGCTCCATGCATTAGGTTTCCAATCATGTCGACCGCCTCGGTCGCTAACATTTCCATCCATTCCAGTGTCTTGCCTGTTACCGTAAGACGAGGTCGTCCGCAAAGCCAACAATCTCAACTCGTTTGGGTAGCTTCAGTGTTAGAGCGCCATTTTAAATCATGTTCCAGAGCGTTGAACCAAGGATGGAGCCTTGTGGAATTCCTACCGTGATCCTAATCGATCTCTGTCCCATATTTGACTCGTAGATCGGTACCCGGTCCTGGAAGTAGCGTCGGCCTCCCAGCTGGAGCTGTTGAACGCATTCTTGACGTCGATCGTTATCACGGCGATATATCGATCTCCTCTCCACTTCTATTTCGACGCCTTCTTGGCTCTCTCGACAACTGTCCGAATTGCATCCACTTTTGCTCTTCCTTTTCGGAATCCGAACTGCCTCTCCGACAATCATTGCTCACTCTCCGTGCATTTCGTCAGCCTATTTAGGATGATCCTCTCCAAAAGTTTTCCGAGTGTATCCAGCAGGCACTGCTACGAGTTGCTCGTTGGTGACTTCGTCGTTATCTCCCTCTCCGTCTCCGTACGATGTAGGTGGCCAGGTCGTTGGATCGTGCTTCGAGAAAAGTACTTCCACGATAACTTTCAGGTTATCTAAGTACATTTCAGCGGGCATGACTTGACATCTGATCTTCGTCATCACGGCACGGTGTGCGTCGTTGGCAGCAGCGTCTCGACCCAGCTCCAGTTGGCAGTTTGACTTGCTCTGCTTTATCTCTCGTTTATGTGCTCGGAACATTGCTCTACGTTCCTCTCTGTCTGCTTCTGTTCTTGCTCTCTGAACACGTCTTCTGGCTCTGAGACAACTAGCGCGGAGGGTGCTTATTGCCTCGTTGCAGCAGTAAGCTGGAAGCCGTCTGTTATTTAGCTCCAGTTTCCTCGACATGGTCGTGTCACATGCTCTCCCTAACGATTCTGTCAACTTGTCTTCCACTTCAGGTTGCAAGTTCTCGTCCTCTGTACTGCCACAGGATTCCGTTAGCCGATGCCATATCGGATTGCCTGATGGTCACTATGGTTATATCCTTCACACACTCTCCAATTCATGTTTTCCACCAGCGACGGACTTCAGTCCGCATAAAAGACGTTGAAAATGGATTCCCGGCAAGGGCGTAGCCAGGTTTCAAGCTAGATAGGGACGAAATAAAAACTTTCTATGGAAAATTTGGCCGAATGCCACTTCACCGAACGCCATTTCCCCGAAAGCCTTTGTGTTGCTGAGTTTAGAGGGAGAGTCACCCCTCCCCCTACCCTCCTCTGGCTACGCCTATGATTCCCGGCCATCTCTGCGAAAAGTGCTGGTGGTGCCTTTATTGAACAGCCTAATTTCCAGCTTCGCCAGAGCTTCCAGTAGAATGTCCCCTTTTGCGTTGGTACATCTGTTTCCCCACTCCACTGCCTAAGCATTGAAGTCTCTTCCGATGACTACCGGTCTTCGTCCGATCAGCTCTTCGGTAAGTCCAACCAGCGTCTCGTGGAACTGCTCCATCGTCCAACGGGTACGTAGCAACTGCATATGAATACATCAGTGGCGTCGCGTACACATGTGCAACCTGTGCACGACACAGGTATAAATGATTTAAAGAAAAGCGCTTAGATTTGTATAGATTTTATGGTCACATTATAGCTGTACTTCTTTACTCCAGAACACAAGTGACCATGAATACACTATTTTATAATGTGGCTCAATTAAATCTTCGACCTTGGTTTGCTTCCAAAAGGATTGAATTCAGTTCGGATGGTCTGCCTAATCCCTAATGCATCGATTTCTAAGCATGTCGATATCACTACCATGACAAAACTCGTTAAATATTGCACCTAAAAGCGAGCTTTTTTTGGGAGACGGGTGGTAAGTTTGTGAATGGTCAAATGCCTGATGTAAACCAAGCAGACCTTCTATCACCTCTTGAAACATACCACAAATTTTCCACAATACATGGCGGTTTGCACCACTAGTTGTAATTGAAACATTCAGCAGCCATGCGTCAAACAGGAGCAACACGGAAACAGCAGTCTGGTACGCTGTTTGCAGACCGGTTTGAAAGTGGATCTTAATGAAGGCCTAAGTACTCTTTCGTAGCTTTTAGTTTTAGGATTTCAAAGATCGTCGGTTGCAGTGGCTTGCTTACTGAGGAGAAAACGCGGTCCCAGATCCTTTCATATGAAAAATATTAAAATATCGTGTATTTTGTAAAACTTTGAGTAACGCTATAATGTGATATGAGAGGCTCGGTGGCCTTAGAGCAACCGTTTCTGCTTACTGAGCAGAACATCATGAGTCTAATCTCAAGCCTATCCACAATCAAGATTCGTCAATGATTAAAAAGGAGCTCGTCTGCCTAGTGGCAAACGTTTTTGCTTACTGAGCAGAAGACCGTGGGTTCAATCCCAAGCTCCTTCGCGTTATATGATCGTTAGGACATCAATTCAGCTTATCGTTTACCAAAACGAACCCTGCTGTTAACCCAACCCTCTTACCCAACATCCCTGTGATTCCTCGTGGAAGTGCAGAGGACTCCTTGGCTTCCATCAAAGCGAGTGTCACGTCAACACATTCCTACCCATTCCTTTCTTGACCTGCGTTCAGGCGCGGCTGGCGCTGGTATTGCCTAATTCGAGATCACCAGTTTTTACACATTGAGGATGATTGCTAGTCCCAAGCATCGTCTATTGGTTCTCTGTGTAATTACAGCTGGTCTGGCAATAACAGAGTAGCAACCGTGGGCGGTCAATCATGCTCATGCTCATGCTCAAATTAGAAGAACATTTGTGATGTATGGGTGCCCAAAGTGTGCATTTCTCGCTGTGCACTTGGATATTTGATTGCAGGCAGAGCGCAAAAGCTCGCTCTCATTCTCTTGCCAGTTGTAAATCTCTCAATTACCGAAGGTTGCGCGGGTGCACCTGTCAAAACTTATGAGCTTCCCCTGTTTCATTCTGATAGTGTTATTCTGATGAATAAAGAGTTGATTAATTCATGTTTGCTACTCAGGGGACTTCATGAAATTTATCTAGATTTTGACACTGTTTTGTATCAAAAAACGTTTTCGGAAGTGTTTGAGGGATATTCTTCATTACACTTCAGTCGAAAGAGTTAGCCTTGTGATAAAAACGAGAATTAGTTAAGTTTTGAAATTCTTCCAACTTCGGTTGGCGTGAAAAGGGCCATACAAGTTTTGTTTACACAAGATGATAGGCCTTTCAAATGTTACGTTAAGTAATGATTAATATAATAAATGAGAAAAGGTCCCTCGAATTCATGGAGCATTGAAAAATAAAACACAAACTAAAGGGTGATACGGTCAAAATTTGGTCAAGGGAAAACGCGTGTAAATCGGTGAAATCGTTTATTTAAAAAATCAAATTAAATTTCTTTTTCAAGTTCAATTAGTATAAAATTCAGGAAAAATATTCAGTTAGGCTTCCGCTTTTCCAAATCCGAATTGCCGGGCCTTACGCTTGACCCCTGCCATCAGATTTTGTACAGCCACCTTGTCCACCTTCTTCGCCGCAGAAAGCCAGTTTGCCTTGAACTGCTGCTCGCCCTTAGCAGTTTTTTTGGTCTTCTTTAGGTTCCGCTTGACAATAGCCCAGTATTTCTCAATTGGGCGGAGCTCTGGCGTGTTGGGAGGGTTCTTGTCCTTGGGAACCACCTGCACGTTGTTGGCGGCGTACCACTCCATGGCCTTTTTACCGTAATGGCAAGATGCCAAATCCGGCCAAAACAGTACGGAACAACCGTGTTTCTTCAGGAAAGGCAGCAGACGTTTATTCAAACACTCTTTCACGTAAATTTCTTGGTTGACAGTCCCGGAAGCTATGAAAATGCTGCTTTTCAAGCCACAGGTACAGATGGCTTGCCAAACCAGATATTTCTTTGCGAACTTTGACAGTTTCATGTGCTTGAAAACATCTGCTACCTTTCCCCTTCCTTTTGCCGTATAAAACT